CCCACAGCACCCCAGAGACGGAGACTGCTGAGTTCCTGGGTGAGGACCTCCAGCAGGTACATGCCTGGGCCAGCCAAGGGTGGCAAGGCAGGTCCATGCAGGCTGTCAACAGAGGGCCGGGCGGGGACGCCAGTTGGGGGCCTCTGTTGAGTCATACCCCAAGCTGTTGGCCATAGGGTCCCCAGGAGGAGGGAAGAGAAAGGTGGCTCCTGCTCTGAGAAAGAACAGGGCAGTGGGGAGGGGGGACAACAACCTCCCGGGATCCTTAACCCTCTTGCTCCCTCCCAGGTAGAGCAGCGGCTGGAGCCAGCCAAGCGAGCGGCCCACAATGTCCACAAGCGACTGCAGGCCTGTTTGCAGGGCCAGAGCGGGTCGGATATGGACAAGCGGGTGGTGAGTGGGGGTCCCAGGAAAGGGGGCCTGGCTCGGACACCTCTGTCCAATGGGGGAGTGAGGTCAGGGCTGGGGTCTCCCTGCCAGTCTGAGCCTCTGGCCCCAAGGGGGTGAAGTCTGCTCTTTCCCAAGGTCCCTATGTCTTCCCCATCCCCTTTTTGACCCAGCCCCCTCTACTCCAATCCCGTGAGCCAAGGCCAGACCTCTGACTGCCCCCGAGCTTGTTCAGTCAGCCCTTAGAATGGAGCAGGCCCTCTCAACGGGGGCAGTCTGTGAGGGCTTCTTGAAGGAAGTGGAATTTGAGCTGGATTTTGAGTGATACTCATCATCGGTATTAATCAACAGCCAGTATTTATGGACTGATGTTACTGTTAGTCTGTTGCTAAGATGTGTCAGTACCTTGCCTGGCTCATTGAGACAACAATGGTAGGAGGAGGCTGCCTCTATTAGCGCTTGTACAGATGAGGAAATGGAAACTTGAAGAGGTAAAGAGGCTCACTCAAGGTCACACAAGCTGAGATTTGAACCCTGAGCCATCTGACCAGAGCTGGTGCTCTCTCTAACTCTAGGTGGGAGTGGGTCAGGCATGTTTTGGAATCAGTCAGCAATTCATTGTGGCCAGGGCTCTGGGAAAAGGGGGAGCAGTAGGGGCATGGAGGGTTTGAGCTTCACAGTGGCTGTATCAGCCATGTGCCCTGTGGCAGGGGAGAGCCCACTTTAAGGCCTACTTGCAGCTCTTCCATTCTCCCTCCAACTGTGACCTTGGCAAACTCCATGCCCTCTGTTCTTAGTTTTCTAGTCTGTAATAGGATTTGGTCCTTCCTTCCACCCCAATCAAGTGGCTTCTGGGAGCAGGGAGGGGACCCCAGAGGGGTGGGAGCTCTTTACATGGTCCCAAGGAGAGGTCACTCCCACCATGCCTTGTCGTCATCAGGCCTCCACTCTCACCTGTGACTGGCCCTCCTGGGTTCCCTCCTCCCCTGCCCAAGCCCAGTGCCTCAGTGGGGTTCTGCCCCCCAGGGACACACCAGGAAGGGTGGAGGGGAGCCCAGCAGGCAAGCACAGGCACTCGTGCTCACAGCTGCCCTGCCCCTCCCTGCAGAAGAAGCTTCCCCTCATGGCTCTGTCCACCACAATGGCCGAGAGCTTCAAGGAGCTGGACCCTGATTCTAGCATGGGGTGAGCACGGACAGAGGCTTCAGCCTTCCCCTGGAGAGACCAAGGAGGGATCTGGGCTGGGAGGGGGTCCAGGGCAGGGAGGGCAGCCGTAGTGGAAGGATTACCAGGCTTGGGAGAGTGTCTGGGCTGGGGACAGAGTCCAGGTCAGTGAGGGCTGCCAAGTCTGGGAGGGTGTTGGGCTCAGCGAGGATGAAGGAGAGACAGAAGGGGCAGGAGGTGATGGGGAGGAAGGAAGCCTCACCTGGTCTTTCCAGATTGGGGCAAGGGGCTGTAGGAGCCTGGGCCCACTGGGTGCTGTGTCCACAGGAAGGCCTTGGAGATGAGCTGTGCCATTCAGAACCAGCTCGCTCGCATCCTCGCCGAGTTTGAGATGACCCTGGAGAGGGATGTCCTGCAGCCACTCAGCAGGCTGAGTGAGGTGATGCTACCCCTCTGCTGGCAGCTTCCCCAGTCTCTAGCCCCAACCTCCCCAGCCCACTCACCCCCTCCCTCCCCATGCCCACCCCTAGGAGGAGCTGCCAGCCATCCTCAAGCACAAGAAAAGCCTGCAGAAGCTGGTATCCGACTGGAATACCCTCAAGAGCAGGTGGGAGCCACAGCACCTGGGTGGGGTCCATGCCTAGGTCAGCCCACGAGGTGGCCACAGAGCTTCGAGGCCCTTCCCACAATAGGAGGACACTGCAGGGCCCACTGGATACAGAGTGTATATTTGTGCATACATCTGGTCCTAGGAACACATATGGTGAGGGTACATGTGAGGGTCCTCTGTGCATGTGTGTGCACATGCTTATGCCAGCTGGGGTGAACTCAAAGCCCAAGATAGCCATAAACAATCCTCCAAGATCCCTAGATGGCAGGAGGGCCCTCACCCTCTACTCTGAAGTTGGGTGGTTGTGACCCCTAAGCCGACCACCAGGTGGCGCCCCCAAGCACTCATGGCCCAGGCCCAGTGGGGTTCTGGGGTTCGCATCTATAAATTCCAGAATCCTGGGTGGTCATGCACATGGAGGGGACACTTGGCTCTGGACATGCAATGGGAACAGTGACCACCCCATCTTGGGATCATCCCCAGGCTCAGCCAGGCAGCTAAGAACTCAGGCAGTGGTCCGGGCCTGGGTGGCGGCCCAGGCGGTTACAGCCACACCACCACGGCCACCAAGGTGGAGACGCTCAAGGAGGAGGAGGAGGAGCTGAAGAGGAAGGTGGAGCAGTGCAAGGTGCGGGGGCGCTTGGGCTTTTCCGGGTGTGTGGGGTGGCAGGGGTGGGCACTGTCCTCATTTCATAGGTGAGGAAATTGGAGCCCTGAGGCAATGTGACTTGCTCAAGGCCACATAAGTAGGAAGCAGCGGAGCCGGGGTTCACCAGGGTCTTGGTGTCTTTGCTAAGTGAGTGAGTGAATGAAGGGTGAATGAATGAATGGTCCATAACACAAGGCACTGTGCTAAGGGTATGGGGACACAGGTGGGGACTAGAAGCTGTATAAGCCCCTCGGGAGTTCAAGGGGTTTCCTGTGGGCTGTCCCCAAGGGCAAACCTTGGCAGAGAGAAGAGAGCTGGCTAGGACCCTCTGCACAGAGCCTGGGCAAGTCACTAACCCCTCTGAGCTTCAGCTTACCCTCTGGGCCCCAGCCTCACTGAATAAGCCCTTCCTTCTCTGTCCCCAAGGACGAGTACTTGGCTGACCTATACCACTTTGCCACCAAGGAGGACACCTATGCCAATTACTTCATAAACGTGAGTCCAAGATCGCTCCAGCCACCCAGAGTTCAGGGGTAGACATCAGAGCCAGAGACCCCTGAGACCCTCTGTTAGATGGTGGGAGGGAAGGGAGTCTGCTCTTGTGGACTCTGAGGGAGGCTCAGCTTCCCTCACTCCCCCTTTGTCCGCACAGCTCATGGAGATTCAGGCTGATTACCATCGCAAGTCTCTGAGCTCTCTGGACACAGCCCTAGCTGAGCTGAAGGAGAACCACAGCCAAGCAGGTGGGGACACAGATGGGCCCCGACCCCACACTCCTGGCCCCCATGTCTTCAGGCATGTTAAGAAGGTTGCACTCCATCCTGAAAGGCAATAGGGAGCCACAGATGAATTCTGAGCAGAGGAGGGCTCAATTAGATTTATATTAGAGAGATTGCTATGTAGAGGGTGAAATAGGGGGGAGCCTGTAGGACTGGAGCCAGGAGACCTTTAAGGAGGCAGAAGGGAAGTGATGGTGGCCTGGACTGGGGTGGAAGCAGTGGGAGTGGGCAGATTTGAGAGATGTGTTGGATGATTTCAGGACGTGTGGCATGGATGGTTGGGTGGGAAGTGGTACCACTGGCCAAAGCTGCAGTCCCTTGAGGATGTCGGGGGTGGGGTGCCCAGCTGCCCATGGGTGGGAGGACCTGGGCCACTGATCTGTCTCATCCCTGCAGACCCCTCCCCTTCGATGATGACCGCCCCCTTCTCCAGGGTGTATGGGGTGTCACTGGGAGCTCACCTGCAGGAGCTGGGCCGGGACATTGCCCTGCCCATCGAGGCCTGCGTCCTGATGCTGCTTTCCGAGGGCGTGAAGGAAGAGGTGGGACCCGCTGGGGCAGGTGGGGCGGGAGCACCGGGGCCCTCGGTCTGTCCCAAACTTCCCGCGTGCTGCCTATGCGGTGCCTTAAAACTGCCCTTCGCGCAGAGGTCCCTGGAGAAGGCGTGGCCCCCTGTTGCTGAAGTGCTACCACCTCCCGCTCAGTGATGCTCCTGGGGTCCAGGCTATCAGCCCTTTGCATCGAGGAATTTAATTATCCCAGTAACCCTTGGAGGGAGCCCTCAGTGGCTCCGTGTTACAGTGGGAGCCGTAGGTCCACAGGTAGCTGTGCCCAGCGGTCCATGAGAAGGTGGCGGCCACGCCAGGGACTCAGGTGCAGTCGCCACATGCAGACTGCCCTCATCCGTCCTTCACCCCTCAGTGCTGCTAGTCCACCGGCTCCTTCCTGAGGACAGACCCGTAAGAGGCAGCGCTGCACAAGACTGAGGCTTCTCCACATCCTGCAGGGCCTCCTTCCCCCTCCGCTCCTGGCCAGACGCCTGTCCCAGCCCCTCCCAGACTACCCCTTTGCTCCGAATCCAAGACCTTGCGAGCTGAGAGGATCCATGGGCACTGGTGTCCACTCTGCCTGCCAGACCAGTGGGGACACAGGCCCAGTAAGGGCCAGCCACCTACCCCAAGCCATGAGTGAGGCACGGCCTTCCAGTTATCCTGTCCCACTCACCCTCCATGACCCTACCTGGTCCCTCTTGCACCCCAGGGCCTCTTTCGTCTCGCCGCTGGGGCCTCAGTGCTGAAGCGCCTCAAGCAGACGATGGCCTTGGACCCCCGCAGCCTGCAGGAGTTCTGCTCCGACCCCCACGCCGTGGCAGGTGCCTGCTCCAAGGAGCCCTGGGGG